AAATGTGTTAGAACCCTCCATGAATGCTGTTACACCAAAACAGTGGCTGTCAAGGTCATTAAGAGACACAGGGCTACCAGCCTATGCCACTGCATACGAGGAGGTAGGTGGGCATACGACACCCAAACAGATTAAACGTTTCAGAAGACGAGGGAATTGAAGGGGTGGACTGAAGGAAAGTGGCTGCTTCCCCAGCGTGAGTTTTCACTCCCACGGTCTCCATGACTACTTAACTGTACTAAGTATGCACCCCAGGGGAGGCAGTTTCTCCTGGTAACTTTTAACCAGCTATATCATTAATCAGGAAAGGCAGGCTTACAAAATTAATCTTGTAGATAGAACAGACGGACTGTTCTTTCTGGTCATGCACACGTGGTCACAGGATTGTCATGCTGTTCGAATTTGAACAAAGACATCTTCATGGTAACAGAATGGTCAGGCCAGGTGCAGCTAAACAAAGTTCAAAGTCACCTTCCCCTTACCTTCTTCAGGTTCCCATGCACTTTACGGCATAAAACTCCTAGACCTTTTTGTCCTTTCATCTTCCGTCTACAACATATCTTGGGGCCATGGTGTGCAGAGGAAGTTTCCTGTGTCAGCTCACCCTGTGTGAGGGTCTGAGGGAGAATGACCCCAAAATGAACCTTGCCCAATTTGTCTTTGTCCTAATCACTATGTAAGTAAATAAAGCTTGTTAAAACACCAATTATTTACTGAGAACTTGCGGTTCAATGGATTTTGTGCAGCCTTTCTTGCCATAGTCTTGTAACTCCCATCCAAGTGATTTGGTGGGACTATGCAAATAGGGTAACTGTGGCCCACCAAGGGGATTGGTCAGTTTTGCCACCCCAATGGGCTTGAAATGAGCCATCCTAGAGGGAGAAAGAAGATCCCACCATCACCAAGGAAAAACAGCCAGGGGCACGGAGCGTGTCCTTTGGACCTGGGATCCCTGTGCTGAGAAGCTCCTGGACCCAGGAGACAGAGAGCTGTAACACTGAAGACAGCAAGAAGCAGTGGCAGAAAAATAGTGGCAAGAGAGAACAGCAGGAGAGACTGGCAGGAGACGGCAGTGGGCTTCTTGGCCCATAGAACAAGAAAGCTGAGCGCCTTGGGGCTGAGGCTTACTTGTGGACTGAGGTGCCTCAGAGCACTTACTGGGAGAACTAACAAAGCTTTGTAACACTTATCTGAGCAGCGCAGAGGACAAGGGGCCAGAGAGAGGCGTGCCTGCGAGCCAGCTGAAAAGAGGCTGTCCTGATGGAAGAACTGTATCCTGAGTATTCCTGAGCCTGAACTGTAACCTGTTACTTCCCTAATAAACCCCGTAACCTTGAGTATTGTCTGAGAGTTCTGTGTGGCCACTGCAATGAATTATCAAACCCAGTAGAGAAGCAGAGTGCCGTGGGAGGGATGGCTGGTATCAGAATTGGTAAAGATGGTGGAGAGAGGAGGCATGTCTGACCTCTGCTTCATGGGAGTCAAGCTTGGGCAGTTGATCTTGATTCTCCTTCCCCCTTGTGAAGTTAGAGGAGGTCAGATGGCGCCCCCACGCCATTTTTACAGAGCTACAGCCTGCATGAGCCTATTTTTATTTCAGCTCACCACTCTATATAAAAAGCAATGACTTTATATAACAAATGATGGCAAATCAACTTAACAGCCCTGGATGGCACAAACGGTTAAGCGCTCAACTACCAGAATAACAGTTGGCAGTTCAAACTCACCCAGAGGCACCTCAGAAGACAGGCCTGATAATCTGCTTCAAAAAGATCACAGCTTTGAAAACCCTATGGAGCAGTTCTACTCTGCACACATGTGGTCACCATGAGTTGGAATCCACTCAATGGCAACTAACAAGAAGACAGGAACCTAATTAAAAAAGTACAGTTTCAAAATATCCCGAATTCTCAACTTAAAAAATCCGATTCATTTAAATGGGAAAAGTGAACTTTAACAGTAGGCACTAAGTCGGGTGAAACAAAAATAAAAGGAGTAAATAAGACTACCTTTTCACAAAATTCTGGAGCTTGTATAGGTTTTGGAGAAATGGCTGCCGAGTTATAACCCCCTATTCTTAAGAAGGAAATTTTCTTGTAATAAACAATACTCATTCCTCGATCTCAGCACCTGGGAACACGATGACCACTGTACCCAGTGGCTTCAAGGGGCACTTATGTATATAGCAAGTTGACATTGTAACATATGAATCAAAGTGTTCTCCCTCAAGAATTTTCCATTACCCAGTAAGCCCATCCACAGGGGGAGTCCACCAGAACTTGTCCATCACCAAAACAGTAGGTTGTCAAAGGAGGATGAAATTTCAGACTCTAGGAATGTGTATTTCAAAAATAAGATTCAGAGGCAAAAGTATACAAACAGAAAAATACAAAATCAAGAAGAGCCAAGGTTTTCATACATTCCCAAAGTAGGAGACAGTTTGGAGAAAGGAGAAAAATAGAAGATACTGGAGTTATGTAAAGGGGTCAGAATTTGTGAGGTCTTCATAAGGTGATGTGTGCTCTGCTCATGCCTGAAAGACTGAGATATGGTCCCCATGTAGGACTGGGGTTCAGAGTTAGGATCTCTCTGTCTATGCTTTTTATAATACTGCTAAGTAACAATCTCAGAAAACCCTACCCACTCCCCTGTTACACACACTCCTGAAGTATGGAAAAGTAGAAATGAAGAAACGGTTGAGAGGCCTAAATAGACAGCAAGGGCTTTAAAGACAGCCCCACAGAACTTTCTGGTATCCTAGATACAATGGAGAGCAGCCAATGCTTTCCCATCTCATAAGAAGGTCTCCAAAGTACATGGATACATCCTGGGGTCAGGACTAAGGAGACCTCAGCTCTGACCTGTATGAACTGAAAACTGAGGATCACAGATGGAATCAAGTACAGAAGGAGAAACCAAAGGGGCAAGAAGACCCTTTGAAACAACCCACCCTGTCCCTTTCAAAGCCACGGCACCAAAGAGCTCACAGGGACCAGATAACAATGTGCTGTAGGTCACAATAAACATTTTGCCTTTGTCTGTGCTTCAGCTGGACCACCACTGCAGAATGAGAAGATGAACTTTTACATGTCTGAAAACAGTGATAAGTGGTAGGGGGGTGGGGAAGAAAAATTTCTGTTGAGAGTTCACAGGAAATAAATTTGTGATTTTCCATTTGGGGAGAGTTTCCCAAACAATATTTAATGGTGTGGATTCCTCTCTACCCACATGAGCAATTACCTATGTTCACTCTTCATATATTCCCACTGTGTGACGCAGAAAGCAATTTGGACTTTTTTTATGAGTTCTGGAGAGCCCAGAGGTTCACCTGGGGGCCTAATACTGACTAAACTTCATGAGGCGTGATGTAATTTATCATGGCTACGGTGAGGCCAAGAAAGGCTTCCAAAGACGAGGTTCCGTGGGGCTTCCGGGTTGGAGAAAGTAGATAGCCTTGTGGAGGGTAAGCGCATCGCCTGAGGGCATGGAATCTCTGTGCTGGACCTCGCCCTACATGTTTCTTCATTTGTATCCTTTCTGGTTATAATAAATTCATATAGTATACTCTCCGTGAATTTTGTTGAGTTGTTCCAGGGAATTTTCAAACCCACAAGGGCAACGAGAGACAGAGAATTTGCATTTCTACGAAGTTCCCAAGTGCTACTAATGATGCTGGTTAGAAACCAACTCTGAGAACCACTAGCAGAGCAGCACGTCTCAAAATTTATTATATGTAAGAATCACCTGGGGATCTTGTTAAAATGTAGATTCTGATTCAGTATATCTGGGTGAAAATGCAAATTCTCAGTAGGGGTTCAAACAGAATGAACCAGTTCGAAGCCCTGTGACATGCTGAAGCATTGCATAATGAAACTGATTCCCAAGAGCATAGTGAGAGACAAGCCATACCTAGAGTGCCTTGGGGTGAAAATGAGACAAATTAATCAAGAGGACTGATGAGGGCCAGGGTTTTCCTGGTTCGACCCAGCCAAGGACCAGGGGCCATACACATAGTAATGGGTAAAATGGTCAGGGGGTGAAAAGAATATGAACACTGGAATGTTTAAAAAGGTTTATGTGAAGTGGTTGTGTTTATCTGAATATTAAGTGTCTGAATAGATGTACATGAAAACTGGAATAGGTTTTATGTAAAGCGGTGAACAGAAATTTGTTGTTAATAAAGTGTATAAATCAGCCCCTCAGGCAATACTAACTGGACGTTAAATGAGACCAACCAGTAAGATATGCTGGAACCCATAGGTTGTTAATTTCTATACAATTGCCCTGTGGGGAGTGTAGGTAGTGGCTTATGCAGAAAACCTGTGCATTTAAAGAGACAGTGACTAGCTGGATTGGACTTTGAATGAGAGAGGAAAAAATAAAACAAAATGAAAACTCAATCAGCTCTGTGTGATGCACTGCCAAGTTGCTGGCTTATTAAAGTAGAATCCTGGTGGTGCAGTGGTTGAGAGCTCAGCTGCTAACCAAAAGGTCAGCAGTTTGAATCCACTAGCCCCTCCTTGGAAACCCTATGGGGCAGTTCTACCCTGCCCTATACGGTTGCTGTGAGTCAAAATGGACTCGACGGCAACAGGTTTTGGTTTTGGGCTTATTAAAGCGATGTCTGTCTGGAGCACAGCCATATGGACATCTGAGGGATGCATTAAAGCAGGACGTGCCAGTACTCATCAGAAGAACCCCCTTCCAGGATGGGAAGTTAATGGGAATTAGCAAGTAGATATCCTGGAGTGTTCGCATTAGGCAACCGCCTGGGTCTGTGAGATGAGTGGACATGGTGGAGAAGCAGAGATGGGCTGTGTGTGAGCATGCTTAATCTTGCACCCTCTGAGGCACGAAGGGCCAGGAGGAATTGTTCTGTATGCCAAGACAAGAGACTGACAAGAGGTGGCTATGGGGGCAGGCAGAGTCTCCAGGAGGATGCCCCTGCATGTAGCGGGCACGTCAGATTCGTTCTGGTAGCTCCAGGAGGCTACACTTACCCTGGACTGAGTTTTGTTTACTCGGTGGTGGATGCAGATACACGAGCTCTGTGGAAGAACTGGAACAGAAGATTCTTCAGACCAAGGAATATGCTTTTATCCCCAGAGTAATACTCTGAATGGACAATTTAAACACTGGTTGTCTAAAACAGGGAATAAAGGCATGAGGAACTGCCAACATGCCTTCCTGAGTGTGTGCTCAAAATGAAGGGGCACGAGCAAAGACCCCCCACTGAATAGATTCCTCTTTTCCTGGCCGATCTAGGGAAGAGAGTGTGGAAGATGTTGATATGACTATACAACTGCGTAATTCTTAAAAAGCTGTAGTTGTGAATCAGAGTACCGCCCTTAGCTCGACTGTATCACATATGCCTGCTTTTGGAAACTGACAAGCAGATGTAGGGCTGCGGTGAACCTTAGTCTTGCAGGAGTTTTTGCCCTACCAGGTGAGGATGGACTGAAATAATTGTTAATGACTGATTTGGGCTGAGACTGTCATACTGCTGGTCAAATGTACAGGGAGGGAGTAGTAACTCTCCAAATGCTGAATATGTGAAAGAACCCAGGACGAAAAGGCCAGAGGGTAGTTTGTGGTGCAGTGAGTTCCCTTGTGCGGCCTCTGCCCTTCTGTTTTCACAAAAACAACTTAGGGGATTTCCTGAGTGGAACTGACTACCCCAAAGGGGGCCCTGGTGGTGCAGTGGTTAAAGTGCTCAGCTGTCAAATGAAAGGTCGGTGGTTTCAACTGACCAGCCACTCTGTGGGAGAAAGATGTGGCAGTGCTTCCGTAAAGATTTACAGCCTTAGAAACCTACGGATCAGTTCTCCTGTCTTATAGGGTTGCTATGAGTTGGAATCCACTAGACCCCAGTGGGTTTTAGCTTAAGGTATCAGGCTGGCTAGACAGGACTGCCCAGTAACTGACAAGGAGCAAACCTGGTAACTGACAAGGAGCACACAGACTAGCTTATAGAAACCGTGGAACATGGAGGCTCACCTCCAGGCTGAGTAGGGCAAACTCTGCTCCTGGGAGGGTAAGTGCAACTCTAAGGACACGGAAGCTCTGCACTGGCATCCCTCCTGGACCTTATACTATGTCTCTTCATTTGTGTCCTATTAAAGTTGTTATTTCAGGAGTAGTATCTCCCATGAGCTCTGTGAGCCATTCCAGCGAATTATTGGACCCAAAGGTGCAGGGGGAGCTGACAGGTCTGAAGAGGAGGGAGTATGCGGACTCCTGACCTTGTGGCCGGTACCCTGAGGGGATAGAGGAAAACCCCAGATTTGGGGCCGGCTAGTCTGAAGTGGAGGGAGTCATGTAGCCTCCTGGGCTTGCAGCAGGTACCTGCTGACCAGCCTCAGGGGGCTGTGTGAGCAGCTGGGATCTGAACTGAACAGGGAAAAGAAGTTGGTGTGTGGCATGGGATTTGTTAGCCACCACATATTTTAGTAGTGTCAGAGGTGGGTGATCTTAGTTTCTCTGGAATGTCATGCACAATTGGCATAGTTGGCAGGGTCCGCTACAGCCACCCCTGACTGCTCACCAACCTACCTGGATTTTTTGCTATTTTCATCTTGTTCTCCACAGTCCAGGGCTCCGTCCCTTTCTTCAAAATGGAGATAATATTTATAGCAGAAGAAGAGATTCCTGATTATAAGAAAAAAGAAACATGATGTGCTGTAGCTTTTACAGAATACAAACTTACCATCTAAGTTTACTCACCTTAGAACATCGCAGATGTCTCTAGAAAAATATTTTAAAAATTCATGCAGTGACTGCTTTTGCTTTCTTCAGAGTGCTTAGGGAATGTATTAAATATGCAGCTATCTAGATCTCTTCCAGGAACTACCAAATCAAAAGCACAGGAGTAAAGTCAGAGACTTGCATGTACTAAAATTTAGCCATAAGCTGTGGGGACCATGGTCTCAGAGAACATCTTGCTCAATTGGCATAACACAGTTTATAAAGAAAATGTTCTACATTCTACTTAGGTGAATAGCGTCTGGGGTCTTAAAAGCCTATAAGCGGCCATCTAAGATATGCCACTGGTCTTACCCCTTCAGGAGCAAGCGAAAATGAAAACTAAAGACACAAGGGAAAGATTAGTCCAAAGGACTAATGGACCACAACTACCATGGCCTCCAACAGACTGAAGCCAGCACAACTAGATGGTGCCTGGCTACCACCACTGACTGCTCTGACAGGGATCACAATAGGGGGCCCTGGACAGAGCTGGAGAAAAATGTAGAACAAAACTCTAACTCACAAAAAAAGACCAGACTTACTGGCCTGAGGCTGGAGAAACCCCGAGAGTATGGCCCCTGGACACCCTCTTAGCCCAGTAATGAAGTCACTCCAGAGGTTCACCTTTTAGCCAAAGATTAGACAGACTCACCGGACAAAATGAGAATAAAGGGGCACACCAGCCCAGGGGCAAGGACTAGAAGGCAGGAGGTGACAGGAACGCTGATAATAGGGAACCCAAGGTCGAGAAGAGAAGAGTACTGACATGTCATGGGGTTGTTAACCAATCCCATAAAACAATATACGTACTGTTTAATAAGAAGCTAGTTTGTTCTGTAAACCTTCATCTAAAGTTCAATAAAAAAAAATTTAGCCATAAGGTTTTGTGTTTACATAAACTCTGGAACTAGCACTACTCTAGTGTGAAGCATGTAGATTATTTGAAGAAAAGGGAAGGCTAAAGACCAGATGCTGCATTATGAAGGTTTTCATTTCTGAATCTAAGTTCAATCTCTGCCATAAGAACAAGGATTTCAAAGTCCATCAAGCAGGGCAGGCGCCTCCAAGAAACTCACAAGGGAAAATGCAGAGATACAGAACAGCAGATCCTGACTTCTGGAGGGAAGTTTTACTCACCCAAGGAGACCAGGTTCCTGTAGTTCTCCAACATCACGTCCCTGTATAAAGCCCTCTGAGCAGGGTCCAGGCATTCCCACTCTTCCTGAGAGAATTCTATGGCCACATCCTTGAATGTCAACAGTCCCTGTAATAAAAAACACATCTCACCAAGTGGACAAGGGACAGTTCTTATTTTCACAAATATGAAAGACAGACAGAAATACAAGGATCAATGAGGTTGTTGTGTGTGTTCTGACAGATCCACGTAAGATAATGTTGAGCAAGTTATGTGTCCCTAATTTTGTTTTAGGAAGAAAGGACTGGCAATCTACTTCCAACAATCAGCCAATGAAAACCCTATGGATCACAATGGTGTGAAGCCCTTCCCATGATGCTCCCTGTCATGGATTGAACTGTGTCCCCAAAAATATACGTATCAGTTTAGCTGGGCCATGATTCCCAGTATTGTGTGGTTGTCCTCCATTTTGTGATTGATGTGATTTTCCTATGTGTTGTAAACCTTAACACTATGCTGTTGACGAGATGGATTAGTGGCAGTTATGTTGATGAGATTTACAAGATTAGATTGTGTCTTAAGACAATTTCTTTCGAGATATAAAAGAGAGAAGAGAGCAGAGAGACAGGTGGACCTCATACCACCAAGAAAGCAGACCGGGAGCAGAGTGTGTCCTTTGGACCTGGGGTTCCTGCACAGAGAAGCTCCTAGTCCAGAGAAGACTGAAGAGAAGGACTTTCCTCCAGAGCTGACAGAGACAGAAAGCCTTCCCCTGGAGTTGATGCCCTGAATTTGGACTTCTAGCCTACTAGACTGTGAGAAAATAAATCTCTCTGTGTTAAAGCCATCCACTTGTATTTCTGTTACAGCAGCACTAGATGACTAAGACACTCCCCAAATGATGCCTCTTCACAAGTCTCATGTGACTGGGTCACAGTGAAATGCAATCTGCGTGGAGGTGAGAGAGGACCGAGGGAAGGCCCTGGGTAAGTGTGAGCCAACATGTCAGACAGGACACATCAGACTCAGAGAAGACGAGAAGGAGAGGACAGAGCTACCAACCAGGAATACGACTGCTACCTGGGGAAGAGCCATGCTGGATGCCTCTTTTTTTCTTCTTCCTCCCAGCTTCATTTTCAGGCAAGATCAGTCTTGAGAAGTCAACCCTGAGTGTGGAAAATATGCTGTTAAAACGCTTAGGATGAACACAGTCCCTTCCCAAGCCACAACCACACACAGGGAAGACCTCACCATGGGGAAAGATGGTCCCTGCTGCCCAATGCCCCAGGAGGGACACAGGGACAATAACCTCCTACACGAAGACCAATAGGTGAGTTTATCACCCTCCCCTCCTGGTGAAGGCCACACTCCGCTGCAGCAGGGGCATCAGGGCTGGACTGACTCTCCCCTTCACGTCCTAGACCCAGCCCTAATATCACACCTCACGCAGAGCAGAGCCCCCTTAGCGCCCCCTGGAAGGGCGACTGGTCTCACCCTCAGAAATGGAGGACTCAGAGTGTTGGTACTCAATGCTAGATGCAGATTAGAATCACCTGGGGCACATTAACATTCTGGAAGCTGGGCCCCACCCCAGGGAATCTCATCTGCAGAGGAAGGACAAGCAAGACTAGAGGAGAACATCTACTTAGCAGTTCACAGCTTAATACACTAACAGATCACATAAGGGAAGAAAAGTGAATATTAACCGGTTAAACTAGGTTAAACTGGTTAAACTAGGTTTTGACTGTTAATATAAATCATGGACATCCCTACAAGGTACACACAGAAATAGTCTTAAAATTATTTACCAGGTAACAAAGAATGTTTCCAACATAGGAGAACGAGTAGAAGGCATGCAGGCCTCATAAACTCCAAAACTTTAAAAGGGGAAAACAATTTGGAAATTAAAACAAACAATAACTTAATGAACCCTGAAGTCCAAAGTTAAAAATATTGAGATGTAAGTCATATTTAGAAAAGAATGGCATAAGCTCATTATGAGACGCCATAAAGCTCATTTTAGAAGTTAATGAGTAAAGTTGAAATTTAATAAACTGACATTATCTCAATGAGCCTGAAAAAAACAATGAATTATTAAAAGTAAAACCATTAAAAAAAAAACAAAAAACTTTTAGTGTTCCTTTAAAAGGTACCATGTAGTGAGTGTTGTTGTGTGCCATGGAGTCATAACGACCCTACAGGACAGGGCAGAACTGCCACAGAGGGTTTCCAAGGCTGTAATCTTCACGAGAGCAGACTGCTAGGTCTTTTCTCCCGCAGGAGCGGCTGGTAGGTTTGAACTGCCCACCAGCGGTTAGCAGCTGAGTGCTTAACCACTGCACCACCATGGAGTCAGTAATTCTTTGTCCCATTTCACCCTTCCACCCATTCATCTGAGGAAAAGGACAGAGGGCGACCCAGAATGGACTTCGACAAGTCACTGCCCTCTGGCTGGCTCAATAGCGGATGCCGTGGAAGTCATCTTCTGACACTAATAAAGTGCATTAGCCTTAGAGACAGTTTTTGCCAAATCTCACTCTCTTCTATATAAACATATTTTATATTAATTAGATTATAAAGGCACAAATATATCACAAACAATCATCCTTATGCCATCAACTCCTCACTCATCTGGATCCCTTCTTTCTCCACAACTGTTTCCCTCTCTCACTCTGTATTCTTTCTCTTCTGTTTTGTTCCTGTTTCTCTCCCTCAATTTCTGCCCTTCATTTGCTTCCCCCCTCTTCTGTCCTGCTGTTTCTCTCCTTCTCTGAACTTCTACTACATCTGTTCAGCCCCACTTCTGCAACCTGTTTCACCTCTTGTTCTTTTCCCTAACCTCTCCGACTGTTCTCCATTTCCACATATTTCTGCCTCTCTCTCCTCCCATCTCTGTTCCCCCTATACTCTCCCTGCTACACCCCCTCTGCCCCGACTCTCTAGTACTCCAAGGTCCCTGAGTTCCTTCCCTGCTGATCCTCCCTCTGATCTCCCTGTCACTCCTTTCTTTCCTGGCAACAAGTCGCTCCGTCTGCCATGGCTACAAATCTTTTATCTCCTCTACCCCCCCACCCTCACTCCTATTGCGGACTAAGGACCCCTCCATATTTTGCTCCCATTCACTCTCTGGAGAGCCTCTTTTCTCTAGATTTGTCTACTTTCTGTTCTCCCTTGCTACTCTCCCGGTTTATTATTCTCTTTCACTCTAACGGTTTGTTTCCGAGTCCTCACCCCACTCCCCCATTTTGCCATCTGTTCATGGTTCTCCGTCATGTTTGTTTTCTAACTTTTAATAGTTGTATTTCTTTCGATCCCCTCGTCCACACGTGCACAGGGATGGAATGAGATGCCCGTTGCCCAGGAGGAGCACATTTTCCAGGGGGTGGGATCGGGAACGGAAGAAGACGGGGTGTCACAGAACACATCCGGATCCCCTCTTCCACACGGAGGTCAGGGAGGAAGCGAGGACTGCAAAGGGGAGGAAGACGCGAGGTCGGGGTCTCATGAGGTGGGGTCTCAGAGTCCCAGGACCAGGAGAGGGCGGGCAGCCCGCGCTGCCCTCGAGGGCAAGGCGGGGAAGGGGTAGGCGAAGGTCCTGAATGCGTCGCCGGTGAGGACTTGACCCGGCGCAGAAGGCGGGGGTCAGGAAAGGGTTTTAAGCAGGAAAACGACGCGGCAGGCGGTGTCTGCACGGCCCGAGAGCAGAAAGGCCGGGCCTCAGCGCGATTTTACACCGAAACGGACTCGGATGCCCGGCCGGCGGCGGAGCCCGAGGGCTTCGAACGTCTCACGGCCACGCCGGGATCTCCGGGGGTGGGAAGGGCGAGTGCGGGAACTTTAACGTCAGGAGCGGCTCCCAGGATGGGTGTGGAGGACGAGGACAGCAAAGCGCACGTTTAGATCACAAAGACGGAAAATCACCTCACCGTGACTTTGGCCACACGCAATCCCCTTCCGCGTCTGAAGTAAACTGCGCAGGCGCGCGCCTGAGGCGACGTAGGGGCGGGGCCGCCAAGCAAGGGGGTGGTGTGGAAAGAGGTCAGGCTGGGGCAGAGGACGCGGAGCGTTGGCGGGGTGGGTCTTGTCTCGGCCTCCTTCCTAGTGCGCCTCATATTCTCTGATTTGGAAACACTTGAGTCTTTTTAGTGTTAATATTTCGGACAGCTTGAGGTTAAAGCTTAGAGTTGTGGGGTCCACTTACGTTGGAAACTGCGATGTTTCCCTCTTAACATGTTGAAAACGATGTAAGTTGAATGCTGTTTTTGCGGGGGGATGGAGACATGGCGTCCTACGAATGAGGCTCTCAGTTCTGAGGGCTAGGGGTTGATGTGCAGAAGCGGTTGGACCCGGAAACTGCTCTTGTAGTTGGAATTTATTTAAGCTATTTAAGAAAGCATTGGAATTGTCTGTGTAGAAGGCCAAACTAAAATGCAAAACTGTGCCTGTGCGAATGTTCAGTTTTATCCTGACGCCCCATCTCAGCATCATTTCCATTTCTCTCTCTCATGCACCTGGGGGGCAGACTTACTTTGTGCTCAGTTCCTGAGATTTTTTTAGGGTCAGACCTGGGGTTTGCCGCCTGGAGGGCTGAGGCATGTGGTAATTTAGGTCACCAACCTTTTCTTTATAAATGGCAATAACTTTTAAAAATAGATATAAATTGGGTTGTTCTTTTTTATATTTGTTAGTCTATTTCACATTTGAGATGAATCATAAACTCCAATACCTTTAAGATAAACTTTGGTGACATTTTTGCTTAAATCTTTAACTTCTAAATGTAATTATAAATTCACTTGACAGTTATTCCGAGAGTAACTACAAAGCTTTTTTTAAAAAAATTTATCTATTTTACCTATTGTTTTCTATTTTAGAATGTTCTGTCAGGTGTGGATAATCAAGCCTGTAAAATGCATTTGGATTCATTTTCACCTAAAGAACTATTTCTACAATATTTCTAAAGGCAGTTGATTGCTGTAGTGTGCCATCCAGTAGATTCTGATTCACAACAACCAATGTGACAGAGTAGAACTGCCCTATAGGGTTTCCTAGGCTGTAATCTTTACCGGAGCAGATGTCCAGGTCTTTTCTTCTGCAGAGGAGCTAGTGGGTTCAAACAGCTGACCTTTCAGTTAGCAGCCAAGTGCTTAACCACTGCCCCAACCAGGGCTCCTAAAGCATTTGATAAAAAAACCAAACCCATTGCCGTGGAGTTGATTCCAACTCATAGTGACCCAATGTGATAGAGTAGAACCGCCCCATAGGGTTTCCAAGGCTATAAATTTTACGGAGGCACTGCCACGTCTTTCTCTCAAAGAGTAATTCGTAGGTTTAAACCACCAACCTTTTGGTTAACAGCAGAACACTTAACCACTGTGCCACCAGGGCTCCAAAGCATTTGATAGGGAGGTCTATTTTTTCTCCATATGAACACTAAAATTAGATTATCAAGTTTCCAACAGCCTCATCTACCCTTAATTTTTAAGGCGTGATCTGTGAGTTAACATCTAACTATGAAGCACAGGTAGTCCCCGACTTAGAATGTATTTGAGTTAGGACAAAGGGTACTTACCACTGTCCGTTTTTTTTTTTCTTGGTAAGATTATCCTTAGTAATATGTACTACATACAATGTTGCAGCTTATAATTTGCTGATGCGATCTTTCTCAGATGTTCACTCGGAGATGTTCAAAAATTAGATTTTATAGAGACACTGATAAAAAAGGTAATAATAATGAAAACAAACAAAAAAATGCGGTATCGACTTATGTCAGAACCGACTTACGACAGTCATCAGAACAGAACCCCATGGGCATAAGTCGGGGATTATCTATACGTTTTTCTCAAATCTCTACATGTGGAAGACTTCTCTCAGTGAATCCTTTGATGAGTAAAGATATTTTGGATAAAAAAGTCTTTTCAGATATATTCATAAGGTCTCACTATAGTATATATTTTATGATATTTCATAAGCTTGAAGCATTGGCTGCAGTCTTTGTGATGTTCATCATATTTGGATTATCTGAATTTTACTAAGGCCTGAATATCATTAAGGGCTTTGTTAGTCATAAAATTTTTAAGATTTCTTTCTAAAGTTAACATTCTGATGATCCCCAAGAATTGAATTTTGAATGACAATCTTGCCACACATCCTGTTTTTAAGGTTTCTCTCAGGTATTTTCTTTCTGATATATAGTGAGGCTTGACAATTGATTAAATATATTGCCCTACTCTTCATAATTTTAAGATCTATTTCAGAAGCAATTTCTGAAGATTAATGTGGATTCACTGTCTAAAGATCTTCTCAACTTCATCACACTTGTAAAGTTTTTCTCTAATATGTGCACTTTCATATTTTGTTATCCATAAAGATAGATCAAGTTTTCCCGTATTAATTGCAAATATTGTTTTTGACACTAGCAGGGATTACCTCAAGTTGTGAAACTGAGGAACCATTTTTATTATAGATTTCTTAACTTGATTACATTTATAAAACGCATTTTCAGTTTGAAATTTCTACAGTTCAGACAGATGTGACAAAGCTTAATCCAGTCCTATTTTCCAATCGTTCCGTACATTTGTTTCCTGCATAGACAATGTTGCTTTTTTAGTTTTGTCAAAGTTCTTATGGAAGACTTCCCATGTTTATACTTTTGATTTGCCCTTTCCTTTACAGAACACTCTTGCGTAAAAGAAACGGTCATTAAGTGGAAATCATTTGTTGACTTGTTATCTTCTGTATCTCTTTAGGTTGCTATATAGTGAAAACTGAAAGCTGGAACTCGCTGCGACTGTCTTGTTTTCTGGTCCTGCCTTTGACAGGGTACAGTCTTACCACTTTTCTATCGCTCTTTATTAGTGGAAAATATTTGAGTTTTCCT